ATTTTATTTATTTTATTTTAGATGTTTTAGAGGGCAATACCAAGCTAGGAAGGATGGTGGGCATCGTAGGACGAGATGGTGGGACTTAAAAGGGGATAAACTAGAAATATTTAAGAATAGAATGGATAAAGAATACAAAAAATGTACTAGTTTTTTGTTTTTTTGTTTATTTTTTTTTTTGTATTTTTGGTATTTAGTGTATTTTTTAAAGATTTTTTTCACAAATATTATACTTTTTAGGTATATTTATGTTAGGTGTGTCTAAAAATTAAAAAAAAATTGCTTAAAATGTTAAAAAAAATTATTGAAAACATTAAAATACAGAAAATAAAAATATAAATTTTTTTGAAAAGTGTTTTCTGAAAACTAGAACCAAATAAGCTAAATATTATTTGTAATTAGTGTATCATGGACAATATTAAAAAAAGTCATGGATATAAAGTTTTAAAATAAATTATATAATGATAAAGGAATTTTTTTATACAAAATATGCGTAAAAATTCAATATAATAGTTATAATACCACGTCATCATTAACATGTGATATCACCAACTAATAATAAAGAAACACAGAGAATGAACGCTACATGTCAAATGTAACTAATAATTGACATTAATTATGTTTGCATGTCAATAGTGATAGATATCACCATTATATTGAAATTTTCATAGATAATAATATCGTAATCACTTTATTTTCAATCAAAATAATAATTATTATTTTAAAAATGTCATTGACATTTAAAATAGTATTTTTATAAATTTTTTTATTTAAAGTATTTTTTTATGTTTGCTTTAAAAAAAAAAAATTGCAAAACCAGGGCGGGGGCGGGGGGACATCCTTGATAGCTCCGCCCCTGACTATAACTATTTTCTTAAAAGAAACTCTTTCAATCATATCATTTTTTTAATTTTTTTATTTTTTATAGAAAGTACATGATTGTGTTGCAGAAAAGCTAAAATTATTTTTTTGGACAAATATTTTTGTATACAGAACAATTAATGGCAAAATAAATTATTATTATTATTATGGAGCTTTTTTGATAAATCCATTTTTTAAGAGTTTTATTCCATCAAATCCATATTCTTTTTGACTATTCCATTAAGTCTTATTTGAAATAAAAAGACCAAAATAACTTTTTCATCTACTTATAAATGTTTCATTTAGTTTATATTATTTTCTTATGTTTCAATAAGTCCTATAAGACACTTCTAAATGAGATTTATCAATAAAAATCCCTTATTATTATTATTTTCTTTCCTTCCTTGAGAATTCATTTTTCTCCCGAAATTTTTATATTCTTGACAACTGAACCTACTTAAAGCATATAACTTTTGACATAGATTTTTAAGCTAGATCAATACATAATGCCTCTGATTATAAATGCATGTATATATATATATATAAACATATTCGTCCTTATGGAGCAACTTTGTCTTTCTTCTATAATGGTGTAGTAAGAAACTCCATTGTCTCTAAATTTTAATCTTCAAGGCACTCTCTATCAGCTTTCAAGGGCATTTTCAATTTAACTCAAATCTATGTATTAAAAGTTAAATTTGCATAAAAATTACTCCAAGCACTCTCTTTTCTATACTTAAATTTGAGTTTGTCTATTGACGAGAGTGATTTTCAGATCAAATAAAGCTTTTATTGTAATTTTTTACAGAAATTTTGAGTCAAAATTTTGAGAAAGGGCAGCAAGGTCCTCTCTTCTTCAATTGTAAGGGTTGATTATGACGGAAAATTTTACAAAATGTTAAACAATGAATGCTTTTTTGCTCTTTACATTTGCTAATAAAGTGGTGATTGAGACCCCTACCCTCACAAAACTCTTACAAATTTGGATCACTCATAATATGGACTCTACACATGCATGATTGGACCCCACATATACATGGAGAGTCATGATCACCGCATTCACCCTCTATTGGTGTGAGTCTGTGCGGGTGTAAAAAAAAATTGATGGAATCGGTAAATCGATCCATTTGAGTTTCAGTAAATTGATGGAACCGGTAAATCCATCCATTTGAGTTTTAATCCAAATCATTATTCAATTCTTAGTTCTTGTTCTGAAATTGGTAGAACTATTAAAATCGGTCTAATTCTCAATTTCAATACTTTGGGTATGATTCTGAACCGAACGGGATCGTGACATATTTATTTATTTATTTTTATATGTAAAAATTAAAATATAAAAAAATTCTTATAAAATTTGAACAATAGTCTTTATTATGAAATTAATAAACTCTAATCAATTTAACCAAATTAATTATTATTACTAAATTAATTATTGTTAGTTTGTTTTTACTACATATAAAGGTGTGCGTTAAAGGTGTGCTTCTAAGTGGGGGTGTAGTATTTTGTAGAAAGGATAATTTTGGTACAAAGCCGGGGTCCTAAAAATTTTCTCATTTTAAATTAGATAAATTACATTTTGCCCCATTTATATGGTTACTTTTCCATTTTGATCTTTAAATTTTATTTCTCTCATTTTGGCCTTTTATGCTTCAAGTTTTTCTTAATTTTCTCATAAAACTAATTTTTGATTAATATTAGACAAAAAAATGTCACGAACTGTCACACAACATAAAAATCTATTATTATTTTAAAATTTAAGTTTGTGTTGTGAGCTATATATAATATATTATTTTTATATCATGTGACTTTCAATGTGTCATTTTGTGCCTAATTTTTAATAAAAATTAACTTTAAAAGTAAATTAAAAAAAACTTGAAACATGAAAAGCCGAAGTAAAAAAATATAAAATAATGAGGAGTCAGTGAAAAAATGACTAAACATAAAAAGACAAAGTGTAATGATCAATGATACATCTTAAAATCTTACTAAAAAAAATCAATGTCCAAATATCGTTGAAGAATTTGTATTTTTAGTAAAAAAATTTATAAAATTGTTAGTAGTATATGTAGAATTATAGTGTATTTTACCCTTTTAATTTTGTAGGTGAGAATTGAAAGAAATGGAAAGTCTCAATTAATAAAGGCTATCTAGTCCACACAATTCTCTCCCAATCACCATTAATTGAATAACACTTTAAAGTTGGCATTTCTTTTTCTTCTAATTTAATTATTTAGCATATCAATTTGAAAAATATAATTATAAATATCATACATTTAAGGGCAGTCAATCCATAAGTCAAATTTTAGATTTCTTCGATCTAAAAACCTACGTGCTAAATTATTATGTCCATAAGGACATGCTTCTGCAAAAAGACTAAACTACTCATATTTTTCATTTTTTGATCTAAGAGAGACACCTACGAATTTCTAGAATTTAGAAATCGTTCTCTCTACCTATTCAACTTCTCTTTCACCTCTTTCTTCTCTCTCAACCACCACAACTCTCCTCTTTTCCATTCTTTCTCCTCTTTAAAAACTGTTGTCAATAACGGTGCCACTGCCTCGACGACTCTTCTTCTCTCAACCACCACAACTCTCCTCTTCTTCGTCCTCTTTCCTTCAATGGCCTCTCTCTAAAATCCACCATCAATGGTAGCACCACCGCTTTACCAATTGGAACGAGAACAACACCACCCCCTGTCATTGGACTGGAATCTCCTGCACTAACATCTCCAGCAATTCTTGAGTCGTCGGGATTACCATCATTGACCTCAATTTCTACTTCCAGGGTTACATTCCGACAAAGAGCTCGAATCTAGAAAGCGAACGAGCACTAGAACCACCCATTGAGCCACCGCGATCAACACGCTCTTGTCGTCTTCCTGAAGAAGCCCTAGCATTGAATCCATTGAAGAGTTTTTCAACTTCGTCGTCCCAATCTACAACAAAGTAATCAAATTCCTCGCCTCTACTCTCAAACACTCCCTCTTTGAGCTCGAGACAATGACGACAGAAACGACAGCGACAGCGTGCAAGATGTCACTCTTGATGACAACGTCGACGTTTGAGATGAGGCGGGCAAAGATGGAGTCAAAGCTACTTTGGGTCTTGAGCTTGTCATAGGGAAGAGAGGGATTTTGGCAAGTGGAATAGAAAGAGAGAGAGAGAGGGGCGAAGAGGGTTGAAGAGGCAAAGAAGAGGAGGTTAAGAGAGAAAAAGAAGAAAGAGAGGTCCGTGAGTTGGGATGTGAGTTGGGATTTGAGATTAACGAGTTTGGTTCTAATGAAAGACAGACAAATAGAGAGTAAAGAGAAATGCATTCGTAAAGAGAGACACAAATATAAAGAGAGACAGACAGTTGTTTCAACAGATAAAACAAAACAATGAAATTGTTTCAACAAATCATACCTTCTCTCAACAAATAAAAGAATAAAAAACAGATTTCAACAGATATGGAAAATATGCTCAATTAATTCGACAAATAGATTAAAATATTAGAATAATTTGAACAAATAACAAAAATTAAGACATATTTCAACGGATGGATTTTTTAACAGATAAGTTAAATATTAAAAAAAATAAATTAACAGATAGGTGTTAATTTGGACAAATAAGAAAACTTTCAAGACATATTCAACAAATAGGCTGAAAAAATTAAATAGACAAAAAATATTTAAACAGATAAGTTAAAATAAAGGGCTCCAAAACAATAAAATGTAATCCGCACCACAATATTTCACAAAACATATACTTCTCACCAAAAGAAAAAAATTACCCATTAACCCTACCACCACAAAAACAATGCTCAAATTGAATTTATCACCAATTTTCTGTACATTTAATTAATTTATGAACGAATTTTGAAAGAAAACAACACAACAAATTTTTTGTTTCAAAATCTATTTTGTATTTTTAACCCGCCCAACTAGTTGGTTTAAAACTGCAAAAATGATCACAGATTTCAAGGATGAGTATTCAAGGATGAGTAGGTTGGCAAAACGTTGAAAAAACCCCTATACAACAAAGTAATTTGGTAGATAAATTCCCCCAGCAAAACCATCCCAAACTAACCACAGTTCATAACACTAACTACTTCCTACCATTTCAATGCAGGCAAAGAAACTCTTTTCAGCACGGCAGTTTGTATTGGCCATGAATGAGCTGGCCTAGGTTCTTTCACATTATGAAAAACCAAATCAGTATTGACAACCCAAATTAAAAATAAAAAAAGGTGAGTCGGCCAAAGTCTCAAACATAACAACAGGTCATGGAGAAATTAAATTAAACGGCAACAAGAAAATTAACTGACTGCTGCAATTACCTGACCAAATCATCTCAAACCCCATTAAATCATCAAAAGAAACTAAAATTGAACTATATAATAAACTAACTTAAATGAAAAGAACAAAAAAGCCTGAGCGAAAAAGATACGGCAAGCCCTAGTGTCTCTAAAATGCCTTTGAATCGGGGATAGGTGTGGAGTTCTCTCTTGGATTCATAACAGCACCACCACCCTTCAGTGGGTGAGAATTGAGGGAGAGATTTTTGGTGAGATTGACGAGCGACGATGTTGAATCAGAAGAATTATTCGACCTCGCTGCAGCTGCTTCTTCAGTTGTCGTTTCTCCTGTTTTCAAATGCATCTGCTCAAAAACATGGAAAAACAAGGTATCAGGAAAATCCAGCCAAACATTACAATAATAAACCGAATTGAATTAGAGCAACCACAGTGATAACTTGTATATAATCGTGCCACCCTATAACATGATTTTGTTTTTGATAACTAAAAACAAAAATCACTTGTTGGGTACACAATTGTTTTCTAAACAGTCAGAGGTGGAGTGGATGGATGCAATCGCTGGCAGCCAGAGGTGCTAGATGTCAGTGATGACCAATGGTCAGTGGTGGCCAGACCCTGTGGGTGAGGGAGGGACTAAAACTTGTTCTGAAAACAAATGAAACGGGAATGAAAACTTGTTTTGAAAACAAGGAGAACCTTCTTTTTTTTCTAAAATTTGGTAAAATTTGAAACCCATTGCCACTTTTTTTAAATGATAAGAAGCACCAAACATGTTCTTGTTCTTTTTCAATTTTTTTTATCACAAAAAAGAGAACAAGAAACAAAAGCATGGGAGGGCCCGTTTGATAACATTTATCTTTACAAAAAAAAAAATTTAAAATTGCAAAGAAAAACTCATTTGTCTATTTTCGTTTTTAAAAAATTGTAAACAATATACAAAATTTACTAAATTCTTGTATTAAAAAAAAGGTTGTTTCATTTGTCTAAAATTCTCCCGCTTTCCCTCTATCCACCATCATCGGCAACCTCTGGCAATCTCCGGCGGCAAAATCCACCCTTGTCGCTAGCAACCACTGCTGGCATCCACCTTCGACCACCACCTCTAGCAGCCATATTCCGTTGGAAACCACATTCAGCCACCACCTCCAGCCGAAAACCACTTCCAACAGCCAGCCACCACCTCCGGCCAACAAATTTTTTTAACACTTGATGTAATTAAAAATTAAAAAATCAATACAAGCATGTAAAATGTTTTTTATAAACTGTAAACGGTAGTTACCAAACAGCACCCTAGGGTCAACTCTTAAGACCAAAAAAGGAGATATATAAACTCACAGGAAAATCATGATTCATGTGTACTTCAGTTTGAGATGAAGCTTGCTTGCTGCTCCTTTTAGCTTTAAGCGATTGCTCCCGGATTTCATAGAAATTGAAATCATCCAATACGGATGTCTTCTCTGAGTAACTCTTAAAAATGTTTAGCATCTCTATTCCTTGCTTAAATCCAATCTGAAACAATGAAAATGGTTGCAAGAACTTTTAGACAATATTTATAAAACCCCCAACTTCAACCAATGTGATATATACCAACAATGGTAGCAAAAAAGAATACTGCAAACTACAATAAGCTGCAACACTAATATCAGTTCCACAGAATGTAATATCGTTCATTCTCAATTAAAAGCAACCGTGGCCCCATACAATAAGCACAAGTTTCCCATTAAAAAGGTTTCATAAAGATTACAAAAATTAAGCTTAAATTCCACTTATATTGACGTTGTCAAAAAAACATAAGTTTAAAGTTGAAATATTGTGTGTTAAGCTAAGCATAGACATTTCTAAGCATAAACATCATGCAACCAACACCATGTCAGACACCAACTTGATACAACACTCATCAAACACTACCAGATATTGGACATGCATGAAACATATTACAAGTTTGATTAAAATAACCTGGAATCCGATGATAAAACAAAAATAATGTAAATTTATACTTCATACCTATTCTCCTCCTTTAGACTTTAAAAAATAGGGTATATTACAAATACACTCATTGAGATTTGCTTAAAATACAGATTGCCCCATGGTTTGGAGAATTACAAATACCCCACATGTTAGAATTTTTTATTTAACGAAATTAACTGAAAAAATAAAATTCCTAACTGCTCTCTATACAACGATAAAATTACATGAATTATTAGTTGAAATAAATTTCTGACATCATTAAGAACTGTTAATTGACTAGATAATTTATTAATAAAAGGGGTCATTTGTTATGAAATTATAAACTTCAAGAGGCGTGATGTAATTTCCATAACCATAGGGAGCAAAATCATATTTTAAGCAAACCTTAGGGGTGTATTTGTAATTTACCCTAAAAATTACTATTTTTGACTTAAATATTCATATATATATGATACATAATAATTATTTATCCTTATCTATGAGATATAAGAAATAAATAAAAAAAACTATATATTTTTCATGTGTCCCCCCCACTGTCATGTCCTACATGGTGTGCCCATCTAGTGTCATGTGTGTCTGCTTCTTAGGTGTCAAGTTTCAATGATTTCACTCAAAAAGAGAAAAAAGACTATCCTATTAATTGAATGCTGTAAAAAGGAAACAAAAGAACTACCTCCTGAGTATCCCTGCTGTAAGTTACAGATCTGTTATCGTTGTTTTCAAGGATGATGTGCCGCAGCTGTGTATTAGGGGTATCCTTAATTATGTGCCACTTTACTGGGAAAAACCCATTCCACTTGTCAAGTTGCCAAAAATCCATGTCCTTGTTGAAATCCACCGGCCCAATCATCTCAGCTACACCTATAAATTGTCCACTTCCATTCACCTGAAATTCCCCAAAGATAACATTCAAACAATGGTTACCTTACTATAAAATCTTAAGTGGCAAAAAGTAATCTGCTTTTACAATGCTAATAAGCAATCTGTATCAAAGTTAGAACCTGTGGTTGATTAAACAAAAGCCAAGATTAGACTTACTGAAAAAAAGAGGAAGATTGGACATTTTGTGCCCGTCTCGCAGGCTTTTGCCTCCGCGTCATGGAAAGCAGCATCCAATTTCTTATTGCCATTTGGAGTACTGGACCAGACATCATATTTAATACACTTATGGATATCATCTTCGCTGTACGACTTGATGACATAAAACTTTGCGTTGTCATACACAATTTGAAACTCTTTTACGTTATATTGATCCCTTCGAACCATGAGTCCCAGCTGTTCTACTTCTGATGGGTTTGAAGGATTGCTCCCATTCTGGGCCCTAGGACCACATGTTAGCTCAGATGAAGCATCAAACCCTACATTTCTGTCTCTCAACCTATTGAATTTGTTGTTCCCATTCCATACTCTACTGTTCGATCTGTAGTTCATTGAACTATTATGGTTTTGATTGATAAATGATGAGAAATTACCAACAGGGTGATATCCTTTCATAAGGTTCGCTGATTGGTAACCAGAACCTAGCTGCATGCATAAAACCAGAAAATATTAATAATTATTAAAACATCTAACCCTGGTGCCAATTTTATAATTATTAAAATAACTAATTCGAGTGTATCAACAATCTCCCTCATCAATTTACTAGAAATATTACAAAACAAAATGCAGACGCAGATTTTGTGAAAACATTTTTTTTAACATATCACAAAATTAGAAAGAGAAAAAGAAAAAGAAAAAAAAAACCATATAAGAGACGATACCCATTATTTGACTTGAAGAAAACTGAGTCCTGAACACGTGCACAGTGGATATTTATTGATGCACTCAAGACTGTCACAAAAAATGGAAAGTGACAAAAACACATAGAATTGGGTGCAAACAATCATTTCCCTTTTTCAACAATTTCCTTTTCTTTTTTTTGTTTAAATCCAAAGTAGTTACAAACGTACAGTATAATGCGCATATCAAAGATATATGACAAATAAGCTCACAATAATAACAATAAAGATTGCATGATAAAATGTGAACTGGATTCCCATCCAAGCTAGAGAAATCAGAGTAATGGAAGTCCTATTTTATTTTAAAATTGACCATTGACCAGTAAAAGACCCTCAAGAGTTTATTTTTGAGGCCAATCCAACATTTGAAATTTTCATCTCATGACAAGAACCAAGACACATGTGTAGACTACTTTTTATAAAATAAAATAAAAAATATTACAATCCTTTCACGCTTCCGGTAGCAATCGTAAAATTTGGAGTGATGACACTTGATATAAAAGATTCTGGCAACTAAGCTCTTAAGATTTAGGCCAGCATAAAACTAAAAAAGATTATTAAGAAAGCTAAAAACTTTGAAATAGGAACAGACAACCATCTAAATCAAGGAGCATTCAACCATGAGATCACACAAACACTTTCTAGTCAAACATCTCCAAGACCCATATTAATAAAAAGTCAAGTTGACTACAAAATTATTTGATCTTGACTAAAGTTTCCTCCACTCCAATACATCATCACCCCCCTCCATACTATCACCTTCAACCTTGTAATTGTCACATCCATACAATATGATAAAAATGTAACGAAGCATAAATAACACAAAAAAAAAGCGGTCGTAGGACAAAGACACTCCTCGGACATGGCTTGATACATGTATGACTTGCCATATTGTGTGACCAAATTTTTTATTCATTTTTTTGTTACAAACCTATGTTACCTGCAACGTAGATCATTTTGGTACGTGGAACGGGAATAAGAACGGAAACGTTATACGCCACATGCTCTAAAATGTAGTACAATAAGAATAGACTTGTATATACTATATTTAAGAATTTAAGGTACTTCTAGAGTAATTTTTTTTTTTCAATTATTAGGCATCCAACAATATATATATATATATTTCATTTTTGAAGTTTTTGTCTTGTCAAAACTTAAGTCACCTTAGATTTTAATTTGTTATATTTGATTTTTTTCCTCCTAAGGTAACATTTAAGGATATATATTAGAAAAAACTTTAGATATCGCTTCGGATCATTAAATTTACCATTTTGGAACAAAAGTGTACCATGTTTCGGAATGTGCGTACCAATACGCAATTCGCTCAGGTATTAGCGCTTTCTGATAACATAGGTACAGACACTTAGGACACGCATCTCTTAAGCAACACACCAAAGACATGTCTTGCAGATGCTACAGCCACCAGCAAGCTCCACAGAAGGTAGTACCTTCACCGTGAGGTAACAAATGGCAAACAAAGGTGACGCAAGACATCCATCAACAAAGATCTAAAAAAATTTATTTTTTCTTCCCAAAAAAAAAAAAAAGCAAATTTAAGGCAGGCTTCCGTCTTGATGTCGTAGGCTACAGTCAAACAAATTGTATTTACCAGCACATCTAATGTAATTTTGAGTGACAGCACTAAATTTCAACTGGAAAAAACAAATATTAAAATCAATATAACCTAAAGATGAATGCTTCAGCACATGCACATATACCTTGCCCAAAGTTCTGAGAGGTTGACTTTCAATGATAGATTTAGAGATATTGGATGAGGCAGCAGATTTTCGTGACCTAGAATCCAAGGGCAACGTTGAAAATTTGCTAGCAAGAGCAGCACCTGATTTTACAGAGTTATAACTATTTGACTTCATTGAAGCATTAGAGCCAAAAGCAGATTTTGGCTTCCCAGGAAAACCGGTCGTCCCATTTGCTACGTCTCCAACATACGCAGAATCCCATGAGTAACATGGCATGGCCTCTGATCCATATGAAACAGGCTGCTGAAGATATCCTGGTGAAGAATAGTATGGTTGCTGCCCATCCATACCCATAAAAGACCCAGTAGCATAAGGATCATAACCAGGCAGATAATAGAGAAGTGAACCATTATCCGTTTGAAAACCCTAGAGAGATCAAAAAAATGAAAAGTGAAAAGGTCACCCAGCTTCAATTGATAAGACAACTCTAGCAGTAACTTGTGAAAAATATAAATAGGATGCCAAAAATAGGCAAATTAACTGTAGGATACAGGGCAGAGAACATACTGTATAAGAACCACCTCCAGCATTAAAATAATTATGGTCATCCAATTGGGTAAAGGTCCCATTATAGCCTGCAAAAAAAGCATTGCAATATCAAAATGCTCAATTTCCCACTTAGTATTAAAGCTCCACGTAACTTTAAAACTCAATCGCCTCCAAGCATGCCTTAATTTTGTAAATGACATTTTTAAAAGCAAAAGTACATTCATAAAATTGGTCAAGATTTTTCACATATGGTACTCTGGGGCTCAAAAGTCTTATATTTTACCTTCTACGGAAGTAATTTAACAAACTAACCTAAATAACCAATACGACAATTACCATTAACAAACAAATCTATTACTAAGTCAAAAGGCAGCATTAAAGAGCTGGTTGTTAGTATTAACATTAATTTAAAAATATCCCAAATATTTGAGTAATAATTTCATACTTTGGTTCAATTTGCATTACAGAAATTTGTCTTTTAAGTCAAAAGTGTTGACAAAATGAAAACTCTTACATTATCTCCATTGAGATGTCCTCAATTACATGTTTGTCATAACAAAAAAAATATACGTCCCGTTTAGTCCACATTGGATGGAGGTCTAGGAGGTGTAGATTGGACACAAATCCCTTTGGCATAATTTGCACTAAGTGGCTGCCTTAGGCTAAAACCCACAACCTCAAGGTTAATAAGCACAGTTTTAAGGGGGACTTCCGTGTAGTTGTGGACTTATTGTCCAATAAGTTCTATGATAATTAATGGCAATTTCTTAAAAACACTCTTAAAAAACATCACTAATTGTTAATTTTCAGCGACAGTTAGAAATTTTTGTCACAAAAAATGTTACTAATTAAAAGTTTTAACGACAATTTAAAAAAAAGGGCAAATTACATATACACCCCTCCAGGTTTGACAAAATTACAGATACCCCCCTGAGGTTTGAGAAATTACGAATTCCCCCTGAATGCTATATTTGCATAAGAAATTAGGGGGTAATTTGTTATGAAATATAAACCTCAGGGGGTAAATTGTTATGAAAATACAAACCTCAGGGGGCGGGATGTAATTTCCGAAACCTCAGGGGGGTATCTGTAATTTTGTCAAACCTGGAGGGGTGTATATGTAATTTGCCCTAAAAAAAAAGAAGTCACTAATTTTCAAATTTCAACGACAGTTTGAAAAATTCGTTACAGAAAAACGTCACTAATTGTAAATTTCAGCGCCAATTTATAAAAAGTATGGAAAAAAATCATTAATTGTTAATTTTTAACGATATGCAAAAAATTGTCACAAAAAATTATTTTTAGCAACAATTTTACTAAGACTTAGGCCTTGTTTGGGAATAGGTTTTTTTTAGTAACTTTTTGGTTTTTTAGCTAAAATATGATGTAAAAAAAAACTAGTATGGTTGGAATGATTTTTTGATTTTTTACGAAAAGATGTGCCAAAATAGAGAGAAAATAGAATCTTTGACTTTTTGGTATAAGTTGTTAGTTTTTTAATTTTTTTTAGTGACTTTTTGACTTTTAGGCTAAAAAGTAATATTGCCAAACGAGGCCTTACTTTTAATATAACTTAATGAGAATTAAGTCCAATTATTAGGACCTATTGGTAATTTACCCAAGTTTTTTAACCACCAAACACACTACTTAAATTCTCCTTCAAACTTACGGCAGCAAACTCTAATACAAATACATGATAATTAGAAACACTCGGAGCTAACAGGTTCACATATCAATTTTCTTCAACTGCGGCATTTTGTTTTTCATCTTTCAGTTGCAACTGAATCTATATGTTTCTATCAAGTGAGGTTTGACAACTTTAATGGAGATCATGTTTCAAAAATAGAACCAATCAATCTAACCTGGGTAATAATAATTGTCATAGCTAGTAGGTGGATAGTAAACACCTTGCTCTGCAACTGACTCTTGACCAGTCTCACCTTTCATGCTGGAGATAGCATCTCCTGAGGAGGATATAGAAGAGGACAAAACAGTTGGTGTTCCACCTTTTCCAGAAGCCTGAGAGAAAACATTAAAACAATACCAAGTAAGACAACAAAGAACAACTGAAGGGACAATGGTAACAAGGTAAATCAGAAAATAATCCCAGAGGCAGTTAGTATTAATAAACAGGTATTATAGACCAAGTCGGATAAAGTTGTGCTTAACAAGCATGAGAGCATTAGTAATAAATTAAGAAGAAAGAATAGAATATCCTTATAGAAGTGAGTGTTTATAAATATTTACTGCTACAATACATGTACAGAATAACTGGGGGTTTGTTTCTAGTAGACATTCCAAACAAGTTATAGAGTAAATTACCCCAAGACCATATCTACCATTTTGTACCATACAACCAATGTTACCCAGACGCAGGTTAAACCAATAACACAGGAATATGATACCAACTGACTCCAGTTGAGGTATATAAAAGACCTAGTTGCATTGTGATGCGGCAATTCTCATTGCAAAAGTGGTTTTCTTTTTCTTCTCTTTAGATGAAAATATATGTATTCAATTATGCCAAGCTCTAGATTCATTATGGTCATGTTTTATTTTTCTTCTCTTTAGATGAAAATACTTCAATTGTAAAATAAGAATAAATATTTTGACTTTCTACAATCATTGTTTTCTAACAAAACCTATGGTACTAGCATTTCTAGAAACTACAACAACTACAGCGTACAAACCACAGGCATAGTAAAAATACCTGAATAACAATCATGCATGAACTACAGTAGCAGACTGACAAAAAAATTACAACCAAAAAAGATCTGAGTTTCAGGAAAATGCCAGGGCTGAAGTTCAAAAATCATTAAAGAACTACAGATACGCAGGAAGGAAGGAAGCAAAAACCCTAAAATGACAGAAAGTGAAGAATTGTCACTGTTGGCATACCACATCTTGCCCAGCCACTTTAGGAGAGGGATCTGACTTCAATACTGCAGCAACTGGCTCGGCTGAATTATAGAGTTAAGTAACTGTGCTACATAATGTTTCCTACTCAAATTATAGAGAAGGTCATTATGGCTTACGAAAGTGAACAGCATTCCATGTACATTAAACAGTATAAAGAAACATATATATATATATCAACTTCTATAATGAGATCCCAAAAGAAAAACAACTTTTATTTGTGATAATGAATATGCTGCTAACCCATAAAATTAATTAATCAGCGCAGATTGCGTTCAAGTTTTTGCATATAACACAACTCAAATTTATTAATTTATTCAGTCGTCAAAAGCAAAAAAGTACAGGCAATTTCTAGTCCACCACTCAACAGTCTTAATCAACACCATATTTTCTGAATTAAACAGTTCACCCCAAAATAAATAAATAAATAAATAAAAGGCATATTTGTTTATATAGAAGTGTGTACATCTACGTAGGTATATAAGACCTTAAGAAGTTTAATAAAAACTGAAAAATCCAAAACTTACAAAAACTCAAAAGCATAGAAATTCAACAATCCGGCAATTCATATTTATGTATACATGTGGGTATGTGTAGTGCGTGAATGGGTTTGTACTATACTATCCAATAATTTCAACAAAAAAATTCAAGGCATGCTGGACTCAATAGCCCAATAAACAAAGGATACACTTATCAATTTTCTTCTCGCCAGCCATTATCAATCTTCAAAACCCAACTCCGCCCTAGGACCAAATAAAAAAAGTTAAGAAAATTATTAGCCTCGAGAAAGCTAAGTCAGTGTATTTAAAAAGTCCAGCATGTTCCCAACTATCTATCTATCTATATCTATATATTTCTAGAAAGAGAAGATATGATGCTATATTAATAACAAATTTAAGCACTAAAACATCTTTAAAAATGACATTTTGAGAGGCAAAAACACAAATTCAGGTGAATAACATGCACCTGGCTCATAATAGGACAACCCATCAAAGAAAAAAATTATACTATTCCCTCTGGATAGAAAGAACAAGATTCTCCTGATCTTTTTTCTCCATTACCAATGAAGATATAATTCAAGCATTATTATATTAATGTTTGTACAGTATATTTGCAACCACAAACACATATTGACAAAGAAAACCGAATTTTCCAACACCAAGAAAAAAAAAAACAATAGCATAGATAAATCGTGATTTTACTAAAAAGCTGAAAAATTGGAAATTGGGTTTCATTTTTAATTTAATGGCCAAATTAAAAAATAAACAAATTATTAAGAAAAATACTTCAACCCTAATCAGTCATGAAGTACCCATTTTTGCCGTCTGTTTTTTTTTTTTTTTTTTCCGAGCAACCAAACACGAGGAAGGAAAAGAAAAAGAAAAAGGAAAAGGAAAGTGACAGACGGGGAAAGAAAATTCCAAACAAAGAATGAAAACAACAGTTATAGCGACTGACAACTTGCATCAAAAAAAGGAAATTATTTCGCCTAACTTAGAAAAATAAATAAACCATAAAATAAAATAAAATTCAACTAAAAAAAGTCATCAATGATTGAGAAAAGGACCGAACTTGTTGGAGATGAAGATATACACGAAAAATTCATAAGCTTTCACTAAAAATCAACTGATTAAGAACTTAGAGAGGCTTTACTGAGAAAAAGCATGAGAAGTGTATACAAAACTAAGAGAAAAACAAAATTAAAGTGAAAGAATATAGAAAATGATTGAGATCTGTGTACCAAAAGACTCAATCCAGTTTCTCTCTCTAATCAAACGAAGAATACAAAGAAAGAAAACAAACCCTAATAACGAAAGAACCCAAAGCCGCCGATTCCGATCTGGTTTTTTTCAAAACCCTAGCGCCGGAAATCCTCTCTCTAGACGGCCGGAAAACCGCTTTTGTGCCCAGAAATGCGAAGCGGCTTTCCGGAGAGAGAGAGAGAGAGAGAGAGAGAGAAGCAGTGAATATAAGAAGAAAAGAGGAGAGAGAGAGAGAGGGAAGCGTTTGGGAGCGTGCGAAGGGCGGGGAAAACCCTTTAATTTAGATCGGACGGAGGGTATTGTTTGCTGTTCTTGGTGACAAGGAATGTCAAGCGTTGGATTGGAAAGGTCAAAAAGGGGAGGACACGCCGAATACGGCACCGTTTAGTGCTGATAACAAAATCAATTTGGATTCATGATTAGCATTCACATTTTAAAAAATTAAAAAAAAAAAACTCTAAAAAATCCTTAGTGAAAGTGACTATTAAAATATTTTTTTACTCATGCATGATGGCTGATGTCACATGAATATATTTATTTTTAAAGTAAAAAAATTATAAAAATATTCACTAAAAAAAAATAAATAAAACAACTCCATTTTTAGAAAATTGAAACAAGACACAGTCAATAATTTTTTAAAAAAAAAGTATTGAACACACATACAACAATTAGGCTTTGTTTGGCTATGCAAGTGAGATTAAAAAGGTATAAAAGATAAAATAAGTTAAATTTATATAATAAAGTAAGAGAGTTTTTGAAATTAATTTCTAAATTCATTAAGAGTCAAGATTTCTTTAATTCTCATTCACGTACCTTCTTTTCCTCATTTTTCTTACTCATGCAATCTCTCTCTCTCTCTCCTGCCATCTTCCTTTTTCTTTTCTTTTTATAATTTTCCCTTTTTTATTTTCCTTTCTATTTCTTTTTTTTTTTCCTTTTTGTACGGACATGTACTAGTAAGTTAATAAGATAAAATGTTACATTCAAATTATAATCATTTTATTTTTTTTCTTACAAAAGTTAAAAAAATCAAAAAAAAAAAAACTTTATCAAATGAACTTTTTTATCCCAAATTAAAAAAACCCACTCTAAAAAGCCAACTTAAAAAAGTTTTAGACAATAACAGTGTTTGAATAAAATTCTCAGCAAACTTTATTGCTATTGTGAATATTACCAAATGCTTGTAATCACCAAAATTAATAAATCTTTGAATAACATAATTCTATAATCATAATCATCGTTCTATAAAAGTTCCAACGCATGGAATTCACTATTCTATCTCCATCCAAGAAAATTATACAATAGTCGTGGAGTACCATAGGATCATACTTATTTATCAATCACCATTCATTATATTCTTCCATATTCTTCAATCACCCAACATAAATAGTTGGTACTTCACATTCTCTACCAATTATATGTGCAAGGATCCCCAAAGAACCCTATCCCCCTGTCCCAATTCATGGATCATACAAGAACCCCAAAATATAAAAATGTCAAGATATATCCAATAATTATGAGTGAATTAGAACAGAAAGACAGAAGATCCTTGCACCAATTATACTACTATAGAGCACTATGTTGTCGTACTCCCGGACGACCAAATAATGTCCAAATACTGCTTAATGCTGATCTATTACTCTTCAAAATATCAATCCTGTGTTTTTGTACCCAATGTGAAGCAAAGTGAGCACGCACCACATTATTCTCGAATGGTGGTACGGCACGCGCTACAAGCCACAGCGTCAATGCGTTAAAATTTGTCTTTTCTCTACGTATTTTGTATGCGATGGCTTTCAATCTAGCAATGTGCTCATGTGCGTAACTAAAATGCTACCTTTGGTGCTCTATTCGAGATGGAGAAAATGGTTTTCTACTTCAGCTTTTGTAAAGGAATTTCCACACGTGATATAAATTGAAAGCGATGGTATTTGTTCTCTTCTTCATATCGACCAACGCCCCTAAACACCGCTTAATGCTAATCTATTATACATGCCCTTTGTCTTTACAATTGCTATCATCTACACCAAATAGAACAACCTGACATGTTCTTTCTCTCTTCCTTGAATTCCATGTGTCATTTTATTTTGATGTTATTTATAGGTGGTTTTCTTTTCCTCATGCTTTGCTTGCACTTCACAAGCTCTTTGTTCTACTACTTTGCTACTTCAACTTAATGTTTTGTTCACTCTAAGGGTGGTTGTTGCTCTAACCTTTAACGCCACCTCTACATTTTGCCCACCATGTGCTCAATAAATATGCACAAACGAGAAATCCTCAAGAGCGACCACATCTCATTTTGTGCTACTTATGAAGAGGACAAAAAATTTAAAAAAATTTATTGAATAAACTATGCGAAGTTTCCTAGAAATATATGTATACACATCTCCATGAAATATATATGAAAGAATCACATTGCTACTAGCTTGAACCTCAGTACGCCTCATTATTGTTTGTAACAAGAAATAGTATTAAGCTTATGTCCTATGTGTTTAACTATTAACATGCAGGGTCGTTTAACAACTGATTGCCCATTAATTAGTTAAATTTGAAACCATGCCACACTACGTTTATTTTTTTATTTTTTTATAACCAGAATAAGAGAAACAGGGAAATAGTCAAGTCCAGATCCTCTCCAATATCTCTCACCAGTGCTTCCTACGGGAGACGACCCAGATTGGGCCACGTCACTACAACAAAAACATACTTTAGTGGCACTACACTAGTGGCATATTTTTAGAAAATGCCACAAAAAATGATATTTAGTGGCACCTTTTTGAAAAATGTCACAAAACGACAAACATAAAAGGCTCTAGTGGCATTTCAATGAACAAGTGTCACAAAACTACAACAAAAACATACTTTAGTGACACTACACTAGTGGCATATTTTTAGAAAATGCCACAAAAATGATATTCAGTGGCACGTTTTTGAAAAATGTCACAAAACGACAAACATAAAAGGCTCTAGTGACATTTCAATGAACAAGTGTCACAACACTATAACAAAAACATATTTTAGTGACACCATACTAGTGGCATGTTCTTAAAAAATGTCACAAAAAGAATATTTGGTGGCATTTTTTAGAAAAATGTCATAGAGCCACAAACATATAAGGCTCTAGTGGCATTTCAATTAAAAAAAATGTCACTTCACTACAACAAAAATGTCACTACAAAAACTTTTTATGAATATTCGCAATGACATTTTTTAAAAAATGTCAGGACACTAGGTAGGTGCAAATTACTTTTTATGGCATTTAGGTGAAAAGTGTCATAAACAAATATTTTATAGTATTTTGAGAAATGCCACAAAGCCAAAAACTTTCCAAGTTTATAATGACATTTTTGAAAAAATAAAAAATGCCAATATATTTTCTAAATTTTTAAAATGCAGTAAATGATTAAAAACAAATGAATTAAACTCAATATACACTACAGGAAAAAGCATATTCAACGACTAAATTTCCTGACAAAAAAAATTTGGTCGCTGAAAGCTTTCAGCGACCAAAACAACATTAGTTGGCAAAAGTAAAGCTTTTTGGCGACTAAACAATTTTAATAGCCAAAAGTCTACAATTGGCGACTAAAACTAAGTTTAGTCGCTGATTATATGGGTTTTTGTGACTAAAAAATTTTTAGTAGCCCAAAGTAAAGCTTTTTGGCGACAAAAAAAATTTAGTAGCCAAAAGTCTACAATTGGCGACTAAAAATAAGTTTGGTCGCTGATTATATGGGTTTTACCGACTAAAAAAATTTTAGTAGCCCAAAGTAAAGCTTTTTGGCGACTAAAAAAATTTTAGTAGCCAAAAGTAAAGTTTTTTGGTGCCAAAAAAAATTTTAGTAGCCAAAAGTCTACAATTGGCGACTAAAAAATAAGTTTAATCGCCAAAAGTGGTCATTTTTAGTGTGGGATAACTAAAATCCTAAGGCGGGGATAAAATTTTTTGGTGACCAAAATTTTGGTAGCTGAAAGTGCATTATTTTGGTAGTAAATAGTTTATTTTACATAAATTATGTTCAATAAAATAATTATGTTTATACATATACTTTTATATTAATATGGATGTATGTACTATATAAATAATATATGTTGCATATATAATCATGTGGTGCTATAGAGGTGTAGTGGGAAGAGTGTGGTGTATAAGGTTTATGGTGTGGAAGGTTGACAGTTCGAATCTCTGCAAGAGCAGATCAAATTGTTCTACAACGAATTACTGTCATGAATGGCACTTGATAGCGTCACGAATAGTGCCTACCATGACATTAAAGTGTCACTGAAAGGTTTAGTCTTGATGGTGTAATGACACTTACAAGTGTCACTAGCTCTTTTTTTAATGGCGCTTGATAGTGCCACAAATAATATCTACCATGACATTAAAATGTCATTGAAAGTTTTCAGCCATAATGGTGCATGGCACTTGCAAGTATCTACCGTGGCACTCGTATCTACTGTGGCACCAATAGAAGTGGCACTTGTTCAAAATGCCACAAGACCAAAAAATGTCATTAGAAGAATAGTTTTGTGGCACTTTCAAATGTCACTAAACTAAGAAAATGTTGTAGTGAGAAAGAAGACAAACAGTGCCACGTGTAACATGGTGTCAAATAGGAAAAAAAAAATCCAAAATTTAGAGTCGTTCTTTTCTCTCTTTCTCACGTACTCAAATTCCACGAAGAAAGAGAGAAGTAACAAAGGAAGACGGAAGTAACAAAGAATTGGAAGATGACTACCACCACCACGTACATTGGCGACGGTGATACCTAAATCCTTGAGACCTGAAGGATTAACTTATTAGGTTTAACTTATAAGTAGGCAATGCCGGCAATGTACGTGGCATAAGTAGGCAATGTACGTGGACATTGTACATAAGTAGGCAATGTACGTTTATTTTGTGCTACTTATGATTCTCATTTTGCCCACCATGTGCTCAACAAATATGCACAAACGAGAAATCCTCAAGAGCGACCACATCTCTCTCTCAGAATCATTTCTCGCTCTTTCTCTCTCTCTCTCTCTCTCTCTCACTTATTGTAGGCACCCTATTTTGACCAGCCTTAAGACTTGGACGCTTTCTTTCGAACAGCTGATGATGAAAATTAGAATGTGCTATTTTACGAATTTCTCAATAGAAAAGTCGGGTTTAAGTTTTAATTCCAACCTTACACTTGTTTTGACCAAATTATTTTAGAACTATTCGAAAACATTTTTTTTGATTTTTTTTTTCTTATTT